CCCCGGACTGGCCCAGGGGATGGCGCCCTAGAGAATGCGTGGCACCATCTGGATTGTCAGCGTCCCGCACCTAGCTGCCGCGACCCGCACAGGTCCATCCGGGAGTCTTAAACCGGACCCACTTCCTGCTTCTAGGACGAGGACGGGAACCTTCTAAACCACTCACTTATGGAGGGGAGGGGTGGACACACACCAGAGCTACGCAGGATGCAGAGGCAGGGACTCACTGCATGGCAGGTGTGAAGACGCCCCGATTGGCCGGCAGGTGACATGGTGGTTAAGGTGCCAGACTCCCACATGGCCAACTGTAGTTCAAGTCCCAAACCTGGCAACTTGAAACTCATGTTTGTGTGCAAGCTCAAAATCCTGAGAGGGAGAGGAGAAGGGATTGCAGTGTGGCCATGCCCCAGAGTGGGGGGGGGTGATTTGTCACTCTGTCTCTCTGGCATGCACATATGTCCTATAGCCAAAAAAAAAAAAAAATTAAAAAAAAAAATGGGACTCTGATTTAAATGTCTGCCTCTTACTAAAAGCATGAGGTTGAGCGGCGACTTCTCGCGGCTTCGTATCACAGTTCATGACACAGTGAGAATTCTGCCCAGGACACTGTAAGAGCTCAAAAGTGATCAACTGTCGTGAAAATGACCCTGCCAATCTTGTGCAATGCAGAGGAGACAGAAGAGTGATAGTTTCCCTTCCAGACTTTAGCCTTCTTACAAATTGTTGAGTCTAGGGTCGGCCAGTAGTGTGGAGGTTAGAGTGGCTGGTCCCATATGGCCAACTCTGTGGGGTTCGAGTGCCAGGCACAGTGGCTTGGAAAACATGCTGGGTGCGTGTGCTTACAGACCTAAAAACCAAGACGGGAACAGAGAGGGGATCGTGGAGTGGCCATCCCCCAGGGGGCAGGGGGATTTCTCACTTGCCCCTTCGTGGCTCAGACCAGACTCACCTCCTGCACATCCCAGACGTACAGCAGGCGGTTAGAAGACACCGTGCAAAGGACGGACTTCTCTTTGCCGTCCATGGTGAGGCCATTTTCAGAGAGATACTCCATGGGGCCCAAGAATCCTGAAGAAAACAGAAAACCCACCCGGTCGTCAGATAGCTCAGAGAGGGTGGAAACCAAAGGCGTAGCTTCCCTGTCCCCTCTAGGGAAGGCTTGGGGACCGTTACGGGAGGAGGACAGTGGGGCTCCAATCTGGGCTCTCCTTGCAGACTGGCTATTTGGGGACTGTTGGCCAGCTTGTTCTTTGTCTTTAATCTCAGTCTTCGTGGATATAAAATGGTCATAAAGGGACCAGCGGATAACGTAATGGTTACGTCACTGGACTCCCATGTAGTCGACCACAGTTTGAGTCCTGAACCTGGCAGTGTAAAACTCACACCGTGTGTATGTGTGTGTGCCCAAGATCCCGAGAGGAGAATGGAGGAGAAGGGGTTGTGGTGTGGCCATCCCCCCTGGGTGATGTCTCGCTTTTTATCTGTCTCTCTGGTGAACACATGCACCCTATAGCAAAAATCTCTCTTTAAAAGTATAGGAGGGGGCCAGCAGGTGGTGTAGTGGTTAAAGGTGCTGGATTCCCACATGGCCGACTGTGGTTCGAGTCCCAGACCTGGGGGCTTCTCACTCTCTGTCTCTCACTTATTCACTCACTCTGTCCCTCTCTGGTCAAACTGAGGTAAATAAATTTAAGTAAAAATAAATATTTTTAAAAAGAGGGGGTATAAAAAATTAGAGTGCTGTCCTGAGATTTATTTTTTCTCTTCTTTTTAGAATTTTCCTATAGGGTGTGTTTGCTTGCTGGAGAGACAGAGAGGGAAAGCGAGCAATCGCCCTCTAGGAAGATGGCCATGCTGCGATCTCTTCTCCTCCACTCCTCCTGGGATTTTGGGCACGCGCGCGCCTGCCTGGGTTATCAAGCTGCCAGGGCCAGGACATGAACCACGGCCAGCCACGGGGGTCTAGGGCTGTAACTACACCACCACCTGCTGGCCCCTCTGTGAGCAGCAGAGCCTCTGTGGCTTAGGAAGTACCCATTACCCCCCTCCCAGAGTTCTATGGTAGGAGGGATGGGAAGCCTTTGCAGAAGGGAACGGCAGGGCCTAGCTGCATGCCGGGGGAAGCTCCCTCTGCTGTCTCCCTTCGGCTCTGTCCGGAGTCAGAGGAGGCAGGGGCTAGTCGCGTGGCTACCCGAGTAGCTCCGTCCTGTTGAACCTGCCCCTTGCCCTTCGCTGAGTGAGAACAGACTGAACACTGGGGCGGGGGTTGAGTGGGCTTCCGAAAACAAGCGTACCATGCCGGGGCGCCCACCCGTACCAAGGTTCCCGCTCGCTTCTTTGCAGACGAAGTCCTCCGGCTGGGACAACGTCAGCCGCCGCTCCTGCTTTCTCTGGTGGAAGAACAACTGCTTCCATGTCCACGTGTCTAGGCGCTGGTGCACGGCGCTGCAGAAGCTCCACCTCTTCAGGCACAGCGTTCTGGAAACGGAGCCGCGGTCCCGTCAGCCAGCCCCGGGGGCTCCCCTCCTCGGAGCCACCCCGTGAGCCTTCGTGTGCTCCCACCTTCCTGTGTGCGCGCCACCACGCAGCCGCACACGGGCCTGGTGCGTGTGCAGGTGCACACCCCTTCCCGCCGTGCCCTGCCCTTCCCTGCTCACCTCCACAGGTGGTCACGCTCTGCGACCTTATTCCAATACTACCGGAGAGAGAGGAGGAGACAGATATGCAATCAGTACCCGGCGCTGGGTCACTCCTCCCGGGAGCTGGGCCCATCAGGGCGGCCAGACGACCCTAGCTCTCCTACCGCCCACCTGCGGGTACCCCTCTGATGAGGCCCTCAGGATCCCCATGGGAGGACAGAGGAACAAGCACCGATTTCCCAGGACGTGCGAGGGAGCCTCATCAACCAGCCAGTTGGTGTGGCCCCCCTGGGTGTCAGGCCACCCTTTTCCCTTTCATTAGGGTTTTTTGCCAGAGGGCATGTGCACTCACTGGAGAGACAGAGACAGAAAGTGAGAAGCCACCCGCCCCCGGGGGGATGGCCACACCGCAGTCCCTTCTCCTCCATTCTCATCTCAGAATTTTGGGCACACACACACGCACATGCGCCTGGAGTGAGTTTCAAACTGCTGGGTACAGGACTCAAACCGCAGTCAGCTATGTGGGAGTCTAGCACCTTAACCACTACGCCATCTGCTGGCCCCCAGGCTGTGCTTTTCATTTAACAGGATATGAGGCCTTCAGAGGGGATGATGCAAACCCTTGAGCTCTTGGCTTATTACTCTGCTATTCTGCAAATTAGTGCTCAAACAGGCCCAGAGACGTGATCGAGTCCCAGGGACGCTGGTGCAGCCGAGGTGACCGGCTGAGTCTGAGCGAGGTCAGTCTCAAGAGCAAAGGGCGGCCATGTGGGGGTGAGGCTGAGCCAGCCAGGGTCCCGCGGCTGGGGTGGGAGGTGAGAGGAGGCGGGTGCCAGGACCGCGGGAGCGTGCTGGCAGGGGCAGTGGGTGAAGCCCTACCTTGCTGACTTGGGAAGCCTGCAGCAGGCTGTGTGCGTCCAGGAAGGAGAAGATGCGCACTAGCACCACTTCGGGCAGCTGGGACCCCATCTCACGCGGCCGAAGCCACGCCTCGCTTCTTCCTCCTCTGCGGGTTGCTCTGAATTTAAAGGCTTGGCCAGATGGGCAGCACCCGGAAGGACTCCCACCGTGGCTCACCTGGCCCTGTCAGAAACCGGCTGCAGGTGTGGGACTTGCCCCGCCCTCTGCTCCGGCCTCCCACCTGCACTCACTGTCGGCGTGTTGGGGGGCTCACGCCTTCTCTGCACTGGGAGCTGGAGGGGAAGGGCCTGGGGTGGGCGCAGCTGCCGCTGGACTTGTCGGGACTCCCTGAGAAATGCCACGCCGACACACGCACCTTGTCCGAGTCAAGTCTCTACGTGACACTCTCCTAAGTCCCAAATTACTGAGATGCGGAATCTGTCTCTTTCTCTCTTGGGCTAAGCTCTCCTGTAATTACGCTGGTGTCTGCTACCCTCACCTGCCTCCAGCCTGTGGGTCCCTGTGTTTACACACTCCTGAGCTAAATTAATACCGAAAGTAAGCCAGGCAAGAGTGAAGGCGTTTGCACATCGACGGCTCGTGCTGATACACAAAATTCACGAAGCCACTCTCACGAAAGCGCTGGGTGCTAGAATGACGGCCACCTGGGTGGGCCCTCCACGAAACAGCGTCTTCTGCACCAGCTGACAATCACACAGCGAAGGTCAGGTGAAGAGGGGCAGCGTGCAAACTGTCAGCTCTCCAGACACGCCTTGGTACCATCCGGTGGAGGGAGAGCATGGAGAAATGGCTAACAAGAACTTAACTTCGTGGGAACCAGCGTAATGGCTATGTCGCTGGACTCCCACGTAGTCGACCGCAGTTCACGTCCCGGTCCCGGTAGCTTACAACTCACGCTGGGCGCGTGTGCGAGTGTGCCCAAGATCCCAAGAGGAGAATGGAGAAGGGATTGCCGCGTGGCCATCCCCTCTGGGGGGTGATTTCTCGCTTTCTGTCTCTCTGTCTCTCTCTGTCTGGCAAGCGCACGTGCCCTATAGCGAAAACCTCTCAAAAAAAAAAAAAAAAAGAAAGAAAGAACTTAACTTCGCAACAACAGCATCATGTTTAGATTGGACGCACACCTAAACGGAATTTCGTGGCTAGATCTCCAAGATGTGCCATCCAGGGAAAAATATTGGGGCTGGCAGGTGGTGTGGTGATTGGGGCATGGGATTCCCACATGGCCAAGATCGGTTCGAGTCCTGGACCTGGTGGCTTGCTTTCTCACTTTGCCCCTCTTTCTCTGTGTCCCTCTCTGGTCAAATTAAAAAATAATAATATGAAATAAAATCACTCAAAAAAAGAAAAAAGTTGTATATCAATATATGCATTTTATTTGCAGATATAAAAAGGAAAATAATGAAAAAGAATACATGTCTACATGTCTGTGTGACCATCGCATGTCTGTAGTCGGTACATAAACCCGGGGGCAGGATATTGATGGGGGGAGGCCATGCATGTGCCAGGGCCGGGGTTAGGCAGGGACTCATACTTTCTGTTCAGTTTTGCTGTGAACCTAAAACTACCATGAAAAGGTTGACTTAAAAACAGCCTAACCAGGGACGAGCAGGTGCCATAGTGGCTAAGGTGTTGGACTCCCACACGGTCGACTGCGGTTTGAGTCCCGGGCCTGGCGGTTTGAAACTCATGCCACGTGTGTGTGCATGTGTGCCCAAGATCCCAAGAGGAGAAGGGGTTGCTGCCTGACTATCCCCCTGGGGGCGATTTCTCACTTTATCTCTCCAGCAAATGCACATTCCCCGTAGCATACAGCATGACCGAGAGGATAGGAAGGATGAAGAGAGAAGAGTGGTGAGAACAGGGAGGAGGCCTGTGAGTGGCCCGGCCATACTCGCGTCATTTACTGCGACGTGCCATGGGGCCCGTGTGCTCACTAGAGAGGCACACAGAGGGAGACAGAGGGAAAGTGAGAAAGCACCCCGGGGGAATGGCCACACTGCAACCTCTTCTCCATTCTCCTCTCAGGATTTTTGGCACGCACACACCCTCCTGGAGTGTTTGGCAATGAACCAGCCAGTCTTGTGTGTGGGAGCAGCTACCTCAACCACCATTCCAACAGGTGGCCCATGAAATGAATAAATGAACCAAAAGAAGGGAAGAGACGGCAAGGGCACTGCTGAAGAGCCGGCGGGGCAGAAGCGCTCCCGAAGCCCTGCTCCAGGCCATGCAGACGCCCTCCCGCCCTGGCGTGAGTCCTGAGGAGTCCTTCCTTTTCCTTTTTTGGGTTTTTGCCACAGGGCGTGTGCACTCACTGGAGAGAGACGAGAGGGAAAGTGAGACCATCCCCTGGGGCACGGCCATGCAGCTATGCCTTCTCCTCCACTCTCCTCTTGGGATTCCGGGCACGCGCGCGCGCACACATGCCTGGTGTGAGTTTCAGACCCAGGCAGGCCATGTGGAGTCTAGCTCCTTAACTACCACACCACCTGCTGGCTCAGTCCTCAAGAGCCTTTAAGAGAGAGCAGCCTGGTGGTTAAGTCCTCTGGCTCCCACGTGACCAACCACATGGTTCGAGTGTCCTGGACCAGGCTGTTTGAGAAACACACCAGCTCGTTGGGGTTGGCAGGTGGCATGGGGGTTAAGGTGCTGGGCTCCCACATGGCCCACCATGGTTCGAGTCTCAGACCTGGAGGCTTGCTCTCTCACTTTTTCTCTCTCCTTTCATCACATTAAAAAAACAAACACCAGCTCATGTACGTGCCCAAAATCCCAAAAAGTGGGGGAGATGGAGGAGAAGGAACTGAGGTGTGGCCATGCCCCTCGGGGGGTGCTTTCTCTCTCTCTCTCTCTCTGGCTAGTACAAAAGGAACAACCCGGCAGGTGTCCTGACCTGCCACTGTGCCCTGTACAGCCTGCCAGGATTTGACACTCAGCGAGCGCGCCCCCTGGTGTTTGAGTATTGCAACTGACTGAGACCCACCCCGCAAATGGCCCCTGGGGTCCCATGTGCTCTTCCCCAGGCGTCCCATCATGGGATGGGTCTGGAGAGAAAACACCAATAAAGTGGGCACTGCCTGGCAACCACCCGTCCTCACATGGAAGCAGGACACCCAGGAGAGGAGATTCAGAATCCAGGGAACCTCCTGTCTGCACAGGACGCTGGCCACTCACCCCCAGGGGCAGCTAGACAGACGTGGAATCTGGGCAGCACTGTGGGTTCCCGTGGACCTCAGGACACTGGGGCTCCTGAGGACTCCACATGGCTAACTGCAGTTCGAGTCTTGGACCTGGTGGCTTGAAAATCATGCCAGGCATGTGCGTGTGTGTGTGTGTGTGTGTGTGTGTGTGTGTGCCCAAGGTCCCGGGAAGAGAACGGAGGAGGAGGGATTGTGGCCATCTCTTCGTGGGGGCGATTTCTCTATTTCCCTCTCTCTGTTTCTCTCTGGCAACTGCATAAAAAACTCTGTTTCTCTCTGGCAAATGCATGCATCCTATGGCAAAAACGTTTTAAAAATCGCGCGAGAGGAAAAAGCCCTGCCCACAGGCAGAGCTGCGGGCTGTGCTGCTCGCCCTGGAAGCCCCTGTCCCCCACAATAACGTGCCCGCTCCATTTTCACCAGCTGGTGGCCAGGAACCAAGGGCGGCCCGGCACCTGGAATGGGACAACTGGAAGGCCAGTCCCCAACCTGCAGGGACAAACACAACGCCTGGCGCATTGCACAGGGCCACGCTCTGTTCACGGCCCACGGGCGCCCACGGGAATGTCCATGGGACCAGCAAGCTGGGTGACTCCACACCGCCGGGAAGGGCCACAGCTGCCCGGACACACGTGAGCACTGCTCCCTGTCCCCAGGTCAGAGCCTCTATTGTCGCGAGAGGCAGGGCAGACACGCCTGATCGCCCTCCCAGGGCGTGTGACACCAGGACTGCAGTGGGCAGAGGCCGGTACACTGGGCCTGGTGGGCCTGGCAGATGGACGTGCAGACTCCTCCTTCTCCCAGGAGGACGCTGGGTGTGGACGCGGCGTGGCCCTGAACCCTCTTGTTCTCGGTGCCCTGAGACACCCTGGAGACGCGGCTGCATTTGATCCCCATGAACACCTCTGGCCAGAGCCCGGAGTGCCGGTGGGGTACAGCCCTCAGGGTGTTCAGGGACACCCCACACCCCTCCCGCCCACCACAGATGACACGGACTGACAGGACGAAAGGGAGGACGTTGGGCTGCAGTCGCCGCGACTCTCCGGGAGGGAAGCACTCTCCGTGAACGCTGACTTAGGCTGCGGGGGCTGGAGCGAAAGAAGCCCACACGGGCTGGCAGAGACCCCCAGAACTGGCCTTCCTCACTGTCCCTCCCACCTCCCTGCCGACAGCTCCTGCGCTTGGCTTATTTATTTATTAAAGAGTTGCCAAGAACTGCTAGACAAAAGGGGGAGGAGACCCCCCAGCCCCCGAGAGTGGGAGCTGCAGTGGATTTTGGGAAGGGTAGACACAGAGACGCCCAAGCGGAGGGAAGCGGGGGTCGGGCGGGCCCGTCTGGAGAATGTGGCCCTGAGCCTGGCCCAGGCTTCCCTCTCACAGGACAGTTGGGGAGGGAGCAGCGGAAACCAATGGAGCATCTCGCGGCCCTGGGTCCGAGGAAGCCCCACCCGCCTTCCCCAGGCCGAAGCGGTGTCCTTTAACCTCGCGCCTGGGCCCTAGTGAGAGCCTTGCTCGGCTGTCTTTAAAGGTCACTGTTACTTAGCTCAGCTTTGGCCACTGCCCACAGAGGATGATTCATTTTTTAAATGTATTATTACTAGTATTTTTAAATGTGCTATAGAGCATGTGCATTCCCCAGAGAGAGAGACAGAGATGAAGAGAGCAGGAAAGTGAGAAAGTCAGCTGTCAAGTCTGGGACTCGAACCACGATCAGCCATGTGGGAGTCCAGCGCTCCAGCCACCATGTGGGCCACCGACTGGCCCCAGGACAAGGGATTTTAAAGGCCAAATCACACTGACCGCGTGGCTGTGAGGGGAGCAAGCCCACTGGTGAAGGGACACCTTGCGTCCTGGGAGTCAGAGGAGGGCTGGGGCCATTGGAGTCTTTTTTTTTTTTTTTTGCTAGAGGGCACACGTGCCCCTGGAGAGGTGCAAGAGGGAGAAAAAGAGGAAAAGTGAGAAAGGACCTGGAAGGATGGCCACGCCACAGCCCCCGCCCCCATCCTCCTCTCAGCGTTTTGGCACACACATGCACCCACCTGTAGCCCGCCACCGTGTTTTTGAGCTGTTGGCCCTGGGACTTGAACCGTGGTTGACCCTGTTGTTCAGCGCCTTAACCACGATGCACCTGTTGCCCCCACACTTGGTTCTAAGTTTTGTTATAACATCCAATATATTTTCCTTTAGAGTTCGGAACATTTCACAGGGTTCCCGACGGGGAGGGCGGAGTAGGACAGTGTCTGAGACTTGGGGTGTGACCACGGTGCAAGTCGGGGTTCTCCAGAGAAACACGGGCATCAGGGTTGTATCTGGACGCCCAGAGGGGACTTGGAGATCTGGCTCAGGCCATTACGTGGCTGTGAGGCCCCAGCAGGCCGGCCGTCCTCCCGCTGGAGCCCCGGGCACACGGGCGCATGGCGCAGTCCACTCTGAGGGCCTCGGCAGCCGGGACGCTGGTGGCGCAGCTCACAGTCCACGCATGAGAGCGTGAGAACCCGAGGAGGCCCCAGGCAGTCCTGGCGTCCAGAGATGGCGAGCCTCCAGTTATGGCGCCATAGCGGCAGGGGGGGGGGC